CACACACACACACACACACACACACACACACGAGTCAAGTGGCAAAGCAAGGAGATTATTATTTTATTTTTTATGCTGATAACAAAGGCTTAAACTCAGGGTTTGGACACTGTCCCAAGCTTTTTTTGCTCATGGCTGGCACTCTACCACTTGAGCTATTTCTCCACTTCTGGCATTTTTCAAGTGGTTAAATGGACATAATAGTCTCGCAGATAACAATTTTAAAAGACAAATATTTTTAAACACTTTGGGCCAAGAGGAGTTATTTTCCCACTTGGTTGCCTTGCCCAGATGTTTATTTATTTATTGTTCTGGTCCTGGGACTTGAACTCATGACCTGTTCTTAAGTTTTTGTGTTTTTTTTGGTTGGTCATGGAGCTTGAACTCAGGGTCTGGGTGCTGTCCCTGAGCTCTTTTGCTCAAGGCTAGTGCCTTACCATTTTGAGCCACAGTGCCACTTCTGATTTTCTGATAGCTAATGGAGCTAAGAGTCTCAAAGCCTTTCCTGCCTGGGCTGGCTTGAACTATGATCCTCAGATCTCAGCCTCCTGAGTAGTTAAGATTACAGGTGTGAGCCATTAATGCCTGGCAGTCCTTGAGCTTTTTTTTTTTTTTTTTTTGCTTAAGGCTGTGCTTTTCCACTTGACCTATAGCTTTACTTCTGGCTTTTTTTGGGGGGGGGGTAGTTAATTGGAGATAAGTCTCATGGACTTTCCTTCTTGAGCTGGCTTTGAACTGAGATTCTCAGATCTAGCCCCCTGAGTAGCTAGGATTATAGCCAGTTGTCTCTTTAAGATATCCCACTCAGTTCTCAGAGCACACAAATTATGAGGACAATCATACAATGTCAGAGAGAGAGAAAGAGAGAGAGAGAGACAGAGAAAGAGAGAGAGAGAGACAGAGAGACACAGAGAGACAGAGAGAGACAGATTGATTCTCTTTCCCATCCCTTTCCTCTTTTTACAAATCTTGCAGCTTATGAGGGGGTAGAAAACATGAGAACTCCTATGCTCTTAATCAAGTCATTCATTAATACAAGGTTGAATTCCTGGCGCCTGTTTCCCATGCTTCATTCCCCCCATTTATTCTGCTTCAGTTCCACCCAGGCCACTGAGAGCCTCAGGGTCCTGCACTCAAGAAGGAGCTGGTAGCCTCACACATCACCGCCATCATGTCCCCTGTGACCAGTGACCAGGCAAGGATGGGTCCGGTTGAGCTGCAGTTTCTACTGTGCAGGACATGGAAACTATTTGGGGCAGCAGAGCAGACTATTTGAGGGAGACTTGTGTGCCTTGCTTGAACTCTGTACCCTGGAGGAGTACCCTCACCCAGAGGTGTCTCATCTGGTCCCCTTTCTAAATCTTCCCCCCAGTGTCAGGGCTTAGTAGAGTGTGGGGTTTTTTTTTTTTAGGCTTGATTCACTTTCTTATTTTTGTATAAAATTCTATGTTGTAGCCACAGCTGGAGCCTGGGTCCTCTGCACGGAGACTCTGGTGTGGGTTTTCACAAGATGGTCAGTGAATTCCTGATAAGGAGAGTTGGTGAATATGGTCTCTTTCCAGAGGTCAGGGGTCAGGTAACTGTAGGTCTTAGAGATGGCATCAAAGGTGGCTTTGGCGAAGTTCCCCAAGGTAGCAGTACAGCCCCCGGCTGAGGTGTAGCAGTCATCGATGCCAGCCATCAACAGCAGCTTCTTGGGGACAGGTGCTGACAGGATCCCAGTGCCTCTGGGGGTGGGGATGAGGCGCACCAGCCCAGAACCGCAGCGGCCTGTCACCTTGCATGGGACAGTGTGAGGCTTGCCAATCCTGTTCCCCCAGTAACCTCGCCGCACAGGGACGATGGAGAGCTTGGCCAAGATGATGGCCCCCCGGATGGCAGTGGCCTCCTCCTTGGAGCACTTAACCCCCAGACCAACATGGCCATTGTAGTTGCCAATGACTACAAATGCCTTGAACCTGGTGCACTGGCCAGCTTGAGTCTGCTTCTGCACGGCATAATCTTCAACCCCTCATCCTTGAGTGACACTCCCAGGAAGAAGTCAATAATCTCAGACTCCTTGATGGACAGGGAGGAAAGCTAGATCTCCTCCAGAGACCTTAACCAGGCGGCCCAGTTTGGTGATGGGGATCCATTCCTTGTCTTAGGCCCCGCGGTGTCGACTTCAATCCCGGAGGCTGCTAGCGAAGCCTCCAAGGAAGCCCCCATGGCCTCCCAAGCCCAGGCCCCTGGGATCTCTGGGCTGCACTGGCATCATCTGCCATTTGGTGTTTTCCCGGAGAAGGAGAAGAGCTAGAGTGTGAGTTATAGTGCAGCTGATGGAGTGAGACCACCCCAATCCTTTGATGATGTCATCTCCTTTTGTAATAAGCCATGAGTGAGAAAATCCACGGAGGCATGATTAAAGGTAACAAAGCAGCTTCATTAGTCAGTCTGCAAGTGCACTGGCCAGAGCTATCTCCGAACTAGGAGCAGCTGCAACCTCCAAGTGGCGACTTCTTTTTCCCTGCTTCCCACAGGTCTCATCTTTTCTACAGGTCTTTCCAGCACTTCTCCAGCCTCTCCACCTCTGCCATCTTCTCAGCTCTCTGCTGGCCTCTCTGCAGGCCCCTCTACTGCTCAGACTTCCCTGGGCCTTTCTGTGGGCCTCATGGGGCTCATGCACTCCTTACAGCTGTCCTCTGCACCAAGTGTCTCACCTCACGCGCCCCTCTTTCTGTGCTTTTTTTGGTTGGTGGTGGGGCTTGAACTCTGGGCCTGGGCGCTGTCCCTCAGCTCTTCAGCTCAAGGCGAGTGCTCTACCGCTTGAGCCATAGCTCCACTTCCAGTTTTCTAGTGGTTTATTGGAGATAAGAGTCTCACGGACTTTCCTGCCCTGGCTGGCTTTGAACCGTGATCCTCAGACCTCAGCCTCCCGAGTAGCTAGGATTATAGGTGTGAGCCACCTGCGCCTGGCCTCCCCTGTGCTTTTTCTCCTCTCCTCCCCTGGAACTCCCACCCTCCATATCTGGTGGCCTGCCACTGAATGACTTCCTTTGATGCCCTTCCCTGCCAGCTGGAGGTGGGGGGAGGGGAAGGAGGCATGGCGGTGATGTCAGCATGGGTCAGGACCCTCTGCCCCACCGTTTTTCACATTCCCCACTGTTTTTTCTGTTCAATCAAATAACTGATTTTTACATCCTTCTTTTGGGCCAAATTCTAAACTCCCCCTCCCCCATCAAACAGGCTTCGAGTGCAGCAAATCCAACAAATAAAAAGAGGCCGGCTGTGTGCGGTGGCTCGCGCCTGTAATCCTATTCAGGAGGCTGAGATCTGAGGATCACAGTTCAAAGCCAGCCCGGGCAGGAAAGGCCACGAGACTCTTATCTCCAACAAACCACCAGAAAACCGGAGTGGCACTGTGGCTCAACTGGTAGAGCACTAGCCTTGAGCTGAAGAGCTGAGGGACAGTGCCTAAGCCCAGAGTTGAAGCCCCATGACTGACAAAAAAATCCCCAAAACAAAACAAAAACAAACAAAAATAAACAGGCCACCTGTACAAAGGTGTGAGCAGAAAAGCTCTTCCCATAGTAATACATTAAGAATAAGAAACTATAAAAGCATATCAATTAACACTTGGTAAGTCTTATTTTTAGGGGATCCTCTGAGTGTCTCTGAATAGTCCATCTTACTCAAAGGAGAGCAAAGGGGACAAGGCTTACCCAGTCATGGCCAGTTTCTATAATTAATTTAGTTAAAATTTCCTTTAAGGTCCTATTCATTCTTGCCACCTGTCCTGAACTCTGAGTTCTATAAATACAATGTAATTTCCTATTTATTTCTAGGGCCTTAACCAATAATTGAGTAATTTGGGTGGTGAAGGCCGGGACATTGTTGGGCCCCACTGCTAAGGGTAAGCCAAACGGAAGAATTATTTCATGGAGTAATTTTTTATTTTATTTTTTGGGGTCCAGTCGTGGGCCTAAACTCTGGGCCTGGGCACTGTCCCTCAGCTCTTCAGCTCAAGGCTAGCGCTGTACTACTTGAGTCACAGTGCCACTTCCAGCTTTTTTCTTTTTGCTTATGTGGTGCTGAGGAATCGAATCCAGGGCCTTAAGCATGCAAGGCAAGCGTTCTACCACTGAGCCACCTTCCCAGCCCGAGTAATTTTTTTTTTACTGTTATCTAGCAGTTTTGGTTTTTGTCAAGAATGCCTCAGTCCAGCCTAAAAACGTGTCCACTAGTACTAAAATAGTGATGTCCATACTTTCCAGGCTTTACCTCCATGAAGTCCACTTCCTTACCAGGTGAGGTTCCTCGCATAGTGCCCTCTCCACATGTTCCGTCTTTCCAGCATTTACCTGTTGGCAACTTATACATCTGTACCCCACATCAGAGATGAGGTCTTTTAAATGGGGAATGAAGACTCAGTCGAGTTTCCCCTAAATGAGTGTTCTGATGTGTCAGTGTAACCAAGGTCCACCCCAGGGCCTAAGGAACGAATATCCATCCATCCTGCAGCTTTCTCCATCTGGAGGGAAGTGTCTCAGTAGGGAAGGTCTTTCCCAATTCTAAATCATTTGAATAATTAAGGCCTTTCTGGCAGCTCTGGCAATGGTGTAATGATTAGCAGCTCTAGAGGCCCCACTGGTTTTAAGGTAGCCTAGCGAGCTGCCCGATCAGTTAGTTCAGGTGTTTACTTGAACCTCAGGGGTCTCTTCTTTTTGATGACCCTTACAATGAATAATGGCCACCTTTTTGGGAAGCCAAATGGCATCCAGGAGAGTCAGTATCTCTTCAACATTCTTATTTGTTTCCTCCAGAAGTTAAGAGTCCTCTTTCCTTGTATCGAGTCCCAAACATGGGCTGTAGTGAAAGCATAGCAGCTGTCTGTGTAGATATTAACTGTTTTTCCTTTTGCCCACCTCAAGGCTTGAGAGTGATTCTTTGTTTTCTTCTAGGGGAAGCAACATGTATTCTTCTCCAAGGAGACAAGTTACCCAGACTGACTAGGGGAAAAGAAATTTTGGCTTTTAATTTTTAAAAATAAAGGCCCATCCTAGGAGTGGATAAAGAGTCTGGAATGACAAGAAAGGAGTGAGTCATCGTTCCTTTTCCCAGATTGGTAATTCTAGCCAGAAAGCATGGATGGAATTCAATATTTCCAGTGGCCCCCTGAACATTTAATCTTTGTTTAGCCATTGGTCCTTCTGATTTTTTCAATACCCAATAAGCAGCTCCAGGATCCAACGAGGAGTTTATCTTTTTGCCCCCTATTTGCAATGTTACCATGGACTCTGGGAGGCTGAGGACTGAGCCCTGGCCCCATTATTCTGTATCCTCTTCCAGGTTTAAAATCTGAGCCTCCATCTTTTCCCTTCTTTAACATTCCTTTTTCCGGTGTCCATTTTGCTTGCAATAAGCACATTGATTTAGTCCTAGAGGTTCACTAATGCCTTTACAAATAAGTTGTGTTGTTGCCAAAGGTTTCCTGATCCCTGACCTGATGCTGCTACTAAAGCTTGAACCACCTTTTAAAAAACGTTCTTCTCCAGGGTATCTCTGTTATAAAAGACCTGGGCAACCACTACCAGCTCAGATAACACCTTTCCCTCAAAACCTTCTAACCTTTGAAGCTTTTTTTCTAATATCTGGGGCCTACTGGTTCACAAAGGCTATATTTAGGGTTCTTTGATTCTCTGGGGCCTCAGGATCTATAGGTATATAGATCCTATAGGTCTCCGAGAGCTGTTCCAGAAAAGCAGCAGGGGACTCACCGGGGAGATGTACAGTCTCACTCACCTTAGATAAATTAGATGGCTTCCTAACTGCTGCCTGTATCCCTGCTAACAGTCTGGCGGTAATTGGTAAGTGCCTCCTTCCCCCGATTGCTCTTGTAGTCTCAGCTTGGGTGACTCAGGGGAAAGACTCACTCCAAATGGACTGGGTCATCAGTGAGGGAATGATCTGGTCCAAGGACTGACTTCAAGGCACTGTGCCAATGTGCTCCTTTTCTTCTGAGGCGAAAAGCACCTGTAGAAGTTGCTGGCAATAGTCCCAGGTGGGCTGGTGTGTGAATACTGTCTCCAATAATGAGATGAGCCCCTGGGGTTTTTCCAGAAAAGGACAGATTTTGTTGTTTCCAGTTTTACAGGCCCCTAGTTATAAAGGGAACATACACTAGAAAGAGGGCCTGCCTATAGTCTACCCCTGGGGGTTGGCTGTCTCAGGGGCTGTAAAGGGGGCGGATCCACAGACAAGCCCTAAGGCTGGTACAAGGAACCATTTCTGGTATTGAGGGACTAAACATCGGAGGTGCTGATGACAGAAAAAGGGGAAGGGTTTTACATATTCCCCAAGCCAAGGAGGCTTGTTAGTTATCATGTCAATCCACACCAGAATTATAGGGAACCTGATTAGGATTTCTGAAAACGACTTGCTGAACCTTGTATGTTGTGCAGAGGTCAAAAGTTCCTTCAGATGGCCAACCAACATGAAAAGAAGTCCACTCTAATTCATAGAGGGTCTTAAGATGATAACGATTACAGGAATATCCAAGCCGAGATGCCTTTTGTTTAAAAGAAAAAAAAGTTATTAATCATACATTCCAAGGGTGAAGACACAGAGGCTCCTTATCCCATTCTGTAAAAAAGGAGTAAGTGGAAGAGTATACAGGACACAGATAGAAACAGTAACAAACCAACGCAGTCAAGTAGCCACAGATACTTAACTCACATGTCCCATATGACTTCTTGAGGAAGCCCCAAATGGCTTCTCAAGGGAGCTCCAGATGACTTTTCAAAGCAGTCCCAGTGGCTTCTCAAGGAAGCCCCAGAAGGCATGGCTACGTCTTGTCCCAGCCTCAGACTCTGGAAGTAATGCTGAGTCCAACCTTCCACTGAGTCCCCCAGATGACCTCTCAAGGAGGTCCCAGATGGCTTACCAAGGAAGCCTCAGGAGGCGTGGGATATGCCTTATTGCAGCCTCAGACTCGGGAAGTAGCGCTGCGTCCAGCCTTCCACTGAGTCTCCCAAGATGCAGGCCTACCCAGACTCAATCGTGGAGGATTTCCAAATGATTCCTGCCCAGGTTAGTCCTTAGGAAACAGACCCTTGAGGGAGGGTCTCTTCCCTGAGGGCTGAGATTCACCTACAATAGGAGGTTTGGGGATGGGAGTTGCGGGGGGGGGGGGGAGGGGGAAGGCACGGCAAGGCCTGATGTAGTTCAGATAGATAATCTCGCTGGGGCCTCCAAATGTAATAACCCTTGAGTGAGAATGATTAAAGGTAACAAAGGAGTTTTATTAGTCGGTCTGTCAGACTGCCAGACTTTGCTTTTGTCTCTGTTTCAGGCCTTGCAGTTTTCCAGGTCAGGGTGGAGGAGGGGGCCAGCCTGGGGAGGACCTTTTCCCCATTCTCCTGGGGTAGTGAACAAAGCACTGGGAGAGCCCAAGATAAATGGGTAAGGAATTATTTGTGTGTTGATTCCTCCATTCAACATATACTGAGACGCTTCAAGGTGGACAGTATGGTGGTGGGCAGCTATGAACCTTGTCCTCGTGGACTTATAGTCCAGTGCTAGAGATAAGGATGGGGCTCATGTCCCTGGAATATGTTCAACAGGGGAGTAGAAGGCTGGATGAACTGTCTCATCTGAACTTACTTCCTGCTGTGGTCCATTGTTCATGGTCTACTTCCTGCCATGGTTCATTGTCCAGAATAAGTCACCTGGCCCCATCCTAACCAAAGACCATCTAGGAAATGGTAGAAAGTACATGGTGGGGCTGGAAACAAGGCCTAAGTGGTAGAGTACCAGTCATGAATGAAAAAGCCAAAAGAGAGCATGAGGCCCTGAGGTTAAGCCCCTCTTAAACTCCCCAATATGGACCCAAAACAAAACACAGCAAAACTGAAAGTACATGAAATAGTGAGCACAACCTCTCTGCAGCAAACAGTGGTTCCTGGAAGTCTAGCTCTATCAAACAACTTCTCTCTGGTAGAGTTTTAATAATGAGGCAAATAGGTCAAGGAAAGGAAATGTTAGGAACATCCATTATTCCTATCAGAGTGCCTAAGAGAATGTGCATTCATTCTGAGCCTCAGTCAACTGGATCCCTTTGGACAGCTGGTCTTTTCTGAGACTTCAGTGTTTTACTCTATAATACTCAAAGCCACTCAGTTTTATCTCCTTTATTGGTGAAAGTGAGCAGGAATTGTTTATTGATCACAATTAAAAATGTTTAACAGATACCTAGCTCTAAGTCAGTTTTGGTACACTGAGTTCAGTGAGAAATGAGTAATTCAAGTGCCACTTTCAAAGCAACACTGCTCTTTCTGAGGTATAGTTCCACTGAGTTCAATGGTTGTGTTTGTGTAGACATAGTATATATATTATATCTTATTCTCTCTCTCTTTTTTTCCTGGTACTAGGGATGGAACTTAGGGCCTGGGCCTTGTCAAGACTAGTGCTCTACCACTTGAGTCACAGTTCCACTTCCAGCTTTTAGGTGGTAAATTGGAGATAAAGAGTCTCATGGACTTTCCTACCTGGGCTGGCTTTGAACCATTCTTTTCAGATCTCAAGTCTTCTGAGTAGCAAGGACTATAGATATGAGCCACTGGCACATGGCTTATTCATTGCTTTATATTTTTGATAGTTCTGGGGCTTGAACTCAGGGCCTCAGAACTGTCTCTGAGCTTCTTTTGCTCAAGGCTAGCATTCTACCACTTGAGTCATAGTGTCACATCTGACTTTTTCTGTTTATGTGATACTGAGGAATCAAACCCAGGGCTTCATGCAAGCTAGGCAAGCACTCTACCACTAAGCCACATTCCCAGCCCCTTATTTATTATTTTATTAACTAGTGAGACTAAAGACCCAAAGCCTTGATACTGATGGGACAGAGATCAACATCATTAGGTAACTCAAAAGGATTCTTTGTATAAAATGTTACAAATCTGTTGTTGAAGATGGAATCCAGGAAACAAGGTATGGATAATGATAGGCTAATATGTTCTAATTCTCTGGAAGTAGAACTTGCTTTATTATCTACTTTGAGGGATGCTGGGAGAAAACAGGTGAGCCCTGCCTACACTGACTGGTTTCTATGGGCCTTGTTGTGTTCATTCTAACACTGGGGCACTAGGTGGCGCTCAAAATTTTGGGTGGCATTTACGCTGGGTCACTTTCCATGTGGCTTAGCAGCCTGTTCAACTTCTGCCTTCCAGGCAGGTGACTGTGAGATCTCACCAGCTGTGGTCAGTGGGCCAGGTTTATGGTCTTCCCTTTATTGTTCATGATGATGGAAGACAAAACAAGGAGCTTGCGAGGCACTTCAAAGCTTGACATCTTCAAAAGGTTCTGTAGTCTTGTCTCATGAGATTGTTTTCTGTGTGTTTTGGTTTCTTGGTTTGGATTTTGTTTCTCTGGTGTGTGTGTGTGTGTGTGTGTGTGAGAGAGAGAGAGAGAGAGAGAGAGAGTGAGAGAGAGAGAGTGAGAGAGAGAAAGAGAGAGACAGAGACAGAGACAGAGAAGGAAGAAGGGAGGGAGAGAGAAAGAAAGAGGAAGGGAAGGAGAAAAGAGGTAAATCACACAAGGCTGGGGCTTGGCTGTTCCAGAGAAGCACTGGGGACCTGATTTTCTGAAGAATCCATTTCTTTTGGTGACAGTGAGCCTAGACTGATGTGACCAAAAGGACAATGTTCTTTAGGGATTTATTTGTTTGTTTGTTTGTTTAGTGCCAGTACTGGGGCTTGACCTCAGGGTCTTGTACTCTTGCTTAGCTTTTTTTTTGCTGAAGTCTGGTGATCTACCACTTGAGTCTCACATCTATTTCCAGCTATTTGCTGGCTTAATTGGACATAAGTGTCTCAGGAATTTTTTCTGCCCCAGCTGGCTTGGAACTGCTATCCTCAAATCTTAGCCTCCTGGATAGCTGGGATTAGAGGCATGAGCCACGGACTCTTGATTCTTTAGGGATTTAGATGGAGACACTGTTCTCAATGAGTGGAGGGTCCAGATATGTGTAGGGCAGCGGCAAAGTCTGGTTCCGCTCTCTGATGGCTCTGGAGATCTGTGCCAGGTGGTTCTGGAAAGTGGCAATGCTTTGCTTCGGGGCTTCCTCTATGAAGTGTTCATCCGGGTAGGTACCCAGGGGTCTCTGGGGATCAACCATAGCATTGAGTGAGGGAACTGCTACTTCAGCAGCATAGCTGCAAGCCATCATAGATGGCTCTCGTCCTGATGCCCTACCTGATGAACGCTGTGGCCTCCTTCTAGCCCCCCTCCCTTAAATGGATCACTTCAAGTGAAGATAAGCTGCTGAATACTTTGGGCTCTGTGTGTGTGTGTGTGTGTGTGTGTGTGTGTGTGTGTATGTGCATGCTGATTCTGGGGCTTGAACTCAGGGCTCCAAGCTCTACCTGGCCTGGTCTGTCCTGACTCCCAGCTTCATACTCACTCTGTCTCCTGGCTCCTTGCTCAGCATCCAGAGGGTGATGATGACGTCACAGGTGACATTGACAGATGGGAGGGTGGCTATAAAGCCCTCAGGCCTCGCTTTGCCTTTGGAAGTGGGTGGTGGCAGCTGCATGGTAGATGGCAGGTTGGGCATCCAAACACAGGAATCAAACTGAAGGCCAAGAAAGCAGAATAAGGCTTGGAGTTAGGCCCCTCCCTCCTCCACTCCTAGCTCAGGTTTCCCTCACCTGGCCTGCACTGACAGCTGCGTGTCTGGCTGAGCAGGTGAAGATCACCATGGTCAGATACTTTACCAAAGCTTCTCGAGTGTCCAGTGAAGAAGGCATACCTGTAGGAGAAGTGGGTTTACTGGGAGCCTGAGGATTTTGCTGTACAGGTCAGAGAGTTTGGGGCCCAAGAATCAAAGTCCTCATACCTGAGCTCTCCCGCTCTAGGAAACCCTTGGAGAAGATCTCTCTCACCCACGCCTGAAGTTCTTGGTCATCTTGAACAGACACATCACTTGGGTAGTAGATGCCGATGATTTCAGAAACAAAGCTGCAAGGCACACACAAGTTTATTCTGTTTCCAGCCCTGACCCTCTCTGAGAAGCACCTCAGCGCAGGGTCATTCACATGCAGACTTCCTGTCCCCTACTTCCCAGTCTTCCTGCCTCCCCTGAGCCCCTGGCTTCCTGGGGGCAATCCCCTCACCGCTCCACTGCCCGCCAGATCTGCATCCCATCATCCCGGTAGTAGTAGCCTGGAATGTCTTCAACTCCTCGGGCCTGAATATCTTCAGGAAGACACAGGTCAGTGTAGCTCAGCTGTGTCATGTTCCTCTTTATTAGCTCAGAGAATCCTTCAATGCCAAGGCCTGTGGACTGAGAAGCAGGACTCCTGAGAATCAGGACTTTGCTTCAGAAGCATGAGGTAGTTAGAACTGGTGTGGGAGAGATGGGGCCATTGCCACCCCCAGAACCCCCAGAGTCTTCCAATCGAAGAACTTCTATCTATCTATCTATCTATCTATCTATCTATCTATCTATCTATCTATCTATCTATCTATCTATCTATCTATCTATCATTTTTTGCCAGTCTTGAGGTTTGAACACTGTCCCTGAGCTTCTTTTGCTCAAGGTTAGCACTCTACACTTGAGCCACAATGCCACTTCTGGATTTTTCTGTGTATGTGGTACTGAGGAATCGAACCCAGGGCTTCATGCATGCTAGGCAAGTACTCTACTACTAAGCCACATTCCCAGCCCCCTCTTCCACCTTCCTTCCTTCCTTCCTTCCTTCCTTCCTT